ATAAAACTATTAAGTTTCTATAATTTCTTTCCCCAAAAAAAATAATAATTATACTGACTCCAAGTTTTTGAATGCTAGAGTCAAGTGTATAATGTTACAAAAGCTTGTTATTTCAGATAAATGCTGATCTTTGGATCTTTCTATTCATCAAAGAATCCTGAAAAAAATTCTACTCGGCTGTTTTAAATATTAACAATAATAATAATAATAATAATAATGTTTCTTGAGCAGCATATTAGAATGATTTCTGAAGATCATGTGACACTGAAGACTGGAGTAATGATGCTGAAAATACAGCTGCGCATCACAGAAATAAATTACAGTTTAATATATATTCACACAGAAAACTGATATTTTAAATCATAAAAATATTTCACAATTTTACTGCTTTTTCTGTATTTTGGTGAGCAGAAGAGAATTCTCTAAAAAACATTAAAAATCTTACTGTTACTTGTTCAAAAGCTTTGACTGGTAGTGTACAAATATTAAGGGTCTAATATTTCTCTAAATTAAAATTCAACTGAATCGCCATTGGCTGGTAAATTTTTTAGTTTACTCGCATATATATATATATATATATATATAAAGTGAGTAAAAAAATTGGATCTGTTCATAAACACATCCATCGTATGACTTCAGAAGAGTAGTATTGGGCTGCTTTAATCGTACTCTTATTGTTTTTTATCTGTTTTGTAATGTGTCCAGATTATGCTTAAATTAATCTTTTATGTCAGACCGGTTTGGAACGACACAAATGATATAAATGCTGGTTTTGTAAATAATGATAGAACAGTTGATTCTTCATGAATGTGTGTTTATATGGATCTGAGCGTTCAGTGTGTTTGCAGGGCTTTCAGGGCTTCGGCTTCGGCGATGGAGGCTTCCAGATGTCTTTCGGTATCGGGGCTTTTCCTTTCGGGATCTTCGCTACAGCATTTAATATCAATGACGGACGACCGCCTCCAGGTGTGTGCAGACTGGCTGATATATCGCTAAACACCACATTTTCACGAAATGAAAATCTATTTTCTAAATGCACGTTGTAGATTTTAATAGTGAACAGTTCATCTGTGCACATGTGGAAGTGTTTTCATTTTGCCTTTGTAATGTCTAATCAAAAAATCATAACTGCAGATCATTTAGTGCTCTTAAGCTCCGCCCCCACATGCTCACACTCATTTACATATAATGCCACGCCCACATCTCAACACCCAATCAACAACTGATGCACAGAACCAAGCCCCGCCCCACATCTATTCTTTAATGATCATTTGTTACACTCAGATGAAAAGATCTGTCGCTACATTTGTTTCATCGTGACATTTTTATGCACCAGTATAACAATGCATCGTAATAAACCAGCATGTCTTTTTCCATTCATTGAACCTCATTGTACTTTTAGCATGTAAATAAATTATTTAATATAACACAGTTTATACTTCTGAGAGATGCTATTAAAAATGTGCTCGTCCGAGATCAGGATGAGTTTGTTTGTTTATCAGATTTGTAGAAATGTAGCATTGCATCAGTGTCTCACTGCAAGTGAATGGGTGCCGTCAGAACGAGAGCTGATAAATACATCACAATAATCCACTGTGATTGTATTGTGTTTATCTGTGATTGTACATTATGATGCTTTATTAAGGAGTGTATTAAACGTTTGTCTCTCGGCAGCAGCTCCAGGAAGCCCTCAGCACACGGATGAGCACTTCCTGTCCCGCCTCTTCCTGTTCGTGGCGCTCCTCATCATGTTTTGGCTGCTTATTGCCTAAACGCTGACGAACTGTGTTCATCGTCCTCGTCGGAGGACACTGTTCAGTTTTCTTCCCAGATATGATTTTAATAAACACATAAGTCTTATTTCACTCACTGTAGCAGAGCAAGTAGAACTTATATGAATGCATAAATAATATACATCCTAACAATAACTTCAGATTTTCATCGCAATGTCTTTCTTTTGTGCAAAACTGCGTTTGCACAGTGACTCATTTCACTAATTAAAGTCTGTTCTGTTAAACTAACGTTATCATGATAACTGATTTTACGTATATTTAAACATTTTGGCGCACAGTCTTATTTCACTCACTGTAGCAGAGCAAGTAGAACTCATATGAATGCATAAATAATATACATCCTAACAATAACTTCAGATTTTCATCGCAATGTCTTTCTTTTGTGCAAAACTGCGTTTGCACAGTGACTCATTTCACTAATTAAAGTCTGTTCTGTTAAACTAACGTTATCATGATAACTGATTTTACGTATATTTAAACATTTTGGCGCACATCTGATTAAATCCATGTTTGATGATATTTTTAATCGCACATTTTAATTGGATCTTGATCGAATCAGATGCTAAACAAACATATTTGTAAGTGTTTTTGGTTTGTGTGAGACGACTTTCAACCCAGTTTGCACGGAATCCGTTCGTGACACTAACTAGTTGACTAGTTAACTGGTTGACTAGTTAACTGTTCCATCACTAAACTGATCATGAGGTTGGTGGAAAGAATGAAGAAGCTTGAGTGAAAGATATTTGATCACTGCATAATTAGTTTTTGTCTTTACTCTAAAATCAATTGAGCACTTGTTTTCCACAAGTTCATATTTTTTATTTGGAACAAACAATAAAAACAGTAGAGAACGTCTGGGCTTCTAATGAAAAATTAAAAAGAAATTAATGCATTCGCTGAGAGTTTGCACCAAGACATTTAACGCTGAGAATATGTATTTTGGCAAATGTGCTGTGATGATATGAAGGCATTTTCTGCATCAGTTTTTCACGTGTTTTAAATCATGCATTTCATTGAATTGTGGGTGACGCTTTATTTTAAGGTGTCCTCGTTACACACGTTACATGTGCTTACTATTATAGCAACAATTAATGATGCATAATCACATGCAAGTCACCCTAACCATATAGTGAGTACATTAACATTACTCCGCACTAACAAAGACACCTTCAAATAAAGCGTAACCGAACTGTGTTTAGAGTTAAAAGCAATGACTGTAACTCGATGCAGAACGTCCGGACACACAATTAATGCTTTTCTGCACATTTGACGAAACAGAAGGCGAGGCCATTTATTCCAGCAGCATTCATACAGAAACCAAGC